CACTTCTTCCTGATATGTAATCGAAACTTCCCCTATTTAAGCTTGACCCCATTCCCCCTTGTCCTACCACTACAGTCCCGTAATGAAGAGTTCCTCCCCAGCAACCCTGTAGGCCCCCTTCAGATACTGGAAGGCTGCTATGAGGTCTCCACGCAGTCTTCTCTTCTCCAGGCTGAACAGCCCCAACTTTCTCAGCCTGTCTTCATATGGGAGGTGCTCCAGTCCCCTAATCATCCTCGTGGTCCTCCTCTGGACGTGCTTCAACAGCTCCATCACCTTCTTATGTTGAGGACACCAGAACTGGACACAATACTCCAAGTGAAGTCTCATGGGAGCAGAGTAGAAGGGCAGGATCACCTCCTTTGACCTGCTGGTCACGCTTCTTTTGATGCAGCCCAGGACACGGTTGGTTTCTGGGCTGCAAGTGCACACTGAAGCCTGCTCATGTCAAGCTTCTCATCAACCACCCCCACCAAGTCCTTCTCTGCAGGGCTGCTCTGAATCTCTTCTCTGCCCAACCTGTAGCTGAGCCTGGGATTGCCCCAGCCCAGGTGTAGGACCTTGCACTTGGCTTGGTTACACTTCATAAGGTTGGCATCAGCCCACCTCACAAGCGTGTCCAGGTCCCTCTGGATGGCATCCCTTCCCTCCAGCGTATCAACCGAGCCACACATCTTGGTGTCGTCGGCAAACTTGCTGAGGGCGCCTCAATCCCACTGTCCATGTCACCAACAAAGATGTTGAACAAGACAGGTCCCAACACCAGTCCCTGAGGGACGCCACTCGATACTGGTCTCCAACTGGACATTGAGCCATTTACCACAACCCTTCACGTGCAGCCATCCAGCCAGTTCTTTATTCACCAAATGGTCCATCTGTCATCATTCTTGTGGCTTGGTTTTGTTGAGACCTATAAGCTGCAGCTTTCCTCTTGATTGCTGTGATGTTTGGTTTTCCCTTCCCAAGGGATTATAAGTCTCTACATACTGCTTCAAGCTGGCACTTAGAACATCAAGCTGCTGTTGCAAACTAAGTCAAAGACAAAAAAACATCCCTTGAAAAAGAGTTATCCCTTTGACCCTGGAGTGCCGGGTTGGTGGTGCATCAGAAGCAGCTGTGAAAATAAATTGCACTGCTGCTGTGAGTCAGACACCTCTCGAGTTGCCTGATCCTCAGGTGCTCTGTGCCCATCCTTTCTGTTGCTCACTAGCAGCTTTTTTCCTGTGGTGTTACAACCATTTCTTGATGCTTCTTACTGGTACCACTAGGTTGGTTGCTTAATCTCATGCCTGCTTGACTGTAATGCATTGTATCAGTTGTATTGTTAGTCTCCTATTTGACCAACTGGGTGCCTTTAACAATCACTTTGTGAATTACTTTAGTGATGGCTTGATGTACTTTCGGGTAATTGAAGAACTGGGCTTACAGCTTTGCATTGCTATATTAATTGCCTTTTGTACTCTTAAAACTCCCTTCAAAACCTTGCTATTCTTACACAGTAGTAACACGTCTTATTATAAATAGTGCAGCTTTGTTTAATATGCATATGATGATAAATTTTTAATTAAAGACTACAGTTAAATAAGATGATGGGAATCAGACATAGACTTCCCTTGTAGATAATCTGTGAAACTCTTGAGTATGCCAATTTACTCATCATCTTGACTTTATTCACACTGTGCAGATCAGAACGAAGAACAAAGTCTTGGTTCCAGTAACATTGCAGAATTAAGTCCAGGAGCAATAGACTCTTGCCGAAGCGAGTATCATGCTGCTTTTAACAGCATGATGATGGAGCGTATGACCACTGATATTAATGCACTGAAAAAGCAATATTCCAGGATAAAGAAAAAGCAGCAACAGCAGGTTCACCATGTGTATATCAGAGCAGGTAACATATTTAAACGTGCTTCATTTATTGATTTATTACAATCTAACTTCATTGGATAAAGCAAATAACCTTCTTTTACATTTAACCAAATGGACAAAACAAGAGAGACGTGGAATAGATAACACATTACAGTGTTATACTATAGTATAGTGGGTACCACTTTGTACAGACAGATTGGAAATGAGAAGGTGGTGTTTTTTTCTTCTTTTGTCAGGATCTCACGATGATGACCCTGGGATTTTTTTAGGTCCCAGGGACCAGCTGAACAATGGTATTTAAAAGTGTCTTTGATATCTGGGCGCATTGTGTTGATCTCTCTGGTTAAAAACTTTAAATCTCTGGCATTCTTGGAGTTGACATACTGATGCACTAGAAAAAAGGAAATGAAGACATGAGTATGCTTCAGACCAAGTAGATTCCTAGCTAATCCATATGATCCTGACTCTTCTGAGTTCATCCAGGCATAGCAAATTACACAGCTGAAGAACTGGCTTAGGTGTTCCATTGTGACTGATTGTTTACCTAGCCATAATGATACTGCTGTGATGATTGAGCTGGAAATATGTTCATTATTCAGCAGTCCATGTTATGGAGTCCATTTTCCCAGTTGGCAAACTCAACAATGCAGGGTTAGCATGAACAGCACAGCTGACAGTTTTAGTGGGTGTGCAAGCTGAACACAGCCCACCCCACTCATTCCTCCCTACTTAAGTGTCATCTTTCTAATTCTGCATTGAACCATGCAGATGGGTCGCTGTGGAGAATTTTTGTTGCTCTTCTAGATTGTCTGAACTTGTCCTAGCAGGAGCATTTGAATACACAGAGCTGCAATTTTTCATTAACACTAACATCACTTATAAGGAGGGGTTTTTTTAAGAATTTGCCTTGAACAAGGTTGTAGCCAGCAGAAACAGTGCAAACAGTAAAATGTTGATTACCAAGGATTGCCAACCCTTACCCCCAAAGACAAACCTTTCTGATCTTACTAATCATGATGCGGGGCTGAGTCTGTGGTTTAATCTAACTGTCACCCGATTACCTAATTCTGAGTCTACTGCTGTTGTTTAATAAGAGGACGTAATAGAAAAGAGTTGCTGTGGTTTATCCATTAGAAATACATTGGTTCATTCACCAGTCACACAAGCCTCATGGAGAGGGTGATCTGACTGACCTTGTACAAGAACTGAATTACCTCTCATGGTTGGAAGAGAAATGAAGGAGAGGGGAAAGATCTGAAGCCAGTATTAATATTAAACTGTCAGTTACACTTAAGTTCCAAAAATTGAGAAGCTATTTTTGTTTTGTTTTCATGGTATTCCTGGCTCAGAACTTACCCATAGGTAAGAAGAAGGAGGGAAGGGCAGAAAGGAAGTCTTGATTATAGGAGTTACAGCTTGTGTGACTCCAAGATGTAAGAGAAATAAAGTAAATTTGTTTGTTGTTTTTTGTTGGGTTTTTTTTTGTTTTGTTTTGGTTTTTGTTTTTTTTGAATAGTGGTCAGTCCTACAAACCTTTGCTATACCTCAAGAAGGGCATCAAATTTCTTGATGGATCCTTAGAACATTAATTTGTTTTGTTCTTTAACAACTCTGTATTTCTTTTGAACACTTTCTTTCAGACAAAGGGCCAGTTACCAGCCTCCTCCCTTCTCAGGTAAATCATTCCCCAGTGATAAACCACCTCCTTTTAGGAAAGAAGATGAAATTGAATAACAAGTCTCTCAAAAATGCTGTTATTCACATCCCAAGTCATGCTACAGGGAAGATGTCTCCCATTCCCCAAGAAGATCTTAAAACAAAACTGAACTCTCCATGGCGCACTCACATAAGAGTGCATCGAAAGAATATTGCAAGGGGCAAAAGCCAACTGGGCTATGGGGATACCATAGGACTAATTGATGAGCAGAGTGAGAGCTGTAAAACAAATAGTCCTGGTGCAAAGGAGGAGACTTCCAAACATTCTGACGTTGGAGAAGCAGAAGGAGGTGGTTTGGATGACAGGACTACTCGAAAAACTGACCAGCAGTCATCTGAGCCAGCCTCTATGGACAGCAGTGTAAACATGTCAATGGTTCAGCTAAAACTAGAAGCACTGGAACTTGCCTCAGATAGTAAAACTGATGCTGAGTCAACACCCCATCAGTTCAGCCAGCCGTGTTTATCAGAGTCCTCCCGTTCATCTAGTGACTCTGGAAACTTGGCTAAATCTCCCCTCCCCGGGAACCCAAAGCCACAAGTCTTCAATCCTTTTCCCAGTGTCAAGCCTCTTCGAAAGTCAGCTACAGCCAGGAATTTAGGGCTGTATGGCCCCACTGAAAGAACACCAACTGTCCACTTCCCACAAATGAGCAGAAGTTTCAGTAAGTCTGCCAGTGGCAACAGTGGGACCAGGAAACGATGATGTACTACCTGGCACTTTCTATTTCTGACAGCAATGAAGAATTTGTATTGCCTTTTTTTTTTAAGTGTACATGTGTGTGTGCCCCAGAGCATTTCTAATCTTTAATGAGGTAGTAGGGACAAAAGTGGTTACCAGATGTATAAATATGTGTCTTTAGAAATTGTGCTGCTCCCGTGTTGTTATGGGATAGATTAGTGAAGATGCACTCTGCCACCCTGTTGTTGATTCTGATGGTTCTGTGGCAAAATAAACATTGATTTGCAGTGTGAAGGAAATTACACCATTTCTTAAATCTAACTCAGACATAAAATCACCAGCTGCCTTTAACCCCTCAGCCCCCCATGGCTGCCTCCTGTCTCTTTTAAAGCTTGAAGGACAAATTGTCTGGTGCAGCAAACACTTAGTAACAGTTTTTATGACTGTTATACAGCTTTCCCATTAGACCTCATCATCATGCTCTGTGAGTAGCTGGAGAAGCCATAACTAAGAGAAGCACAAGCAGCCCTAACAATCAAAAGTATCACCTTTTGTCCAACATTACTGCTTACCTACCAGGCCATCTGGCTTCAGCCATTCTTGAGCAGCATTTTGTGCTTCTCTTCCCACAGCAGTCCTCTGCTGATAACTACTTTTAATACAATCAGTGAGCATGAGAATAGCAGACGTAAGTCCACCCACAACACTGGTTTGCTCCTGTTCTGTTACATATGTACCTACATACATTTCTGTTACTGCTGTAGAGTTGCAGCACTGCAAAATTAGGAATTAGGTACAACTATATACGTAGTTGTATGAATATTATGGCACATCTTGTCTTCAGTGGATTTAAAAGCTATTATCTAGATTACAGACTTATGATTAAATATTTTCTAGCTTAGCAGGATAGAATATATGAATGTTGCAAAATAGTTTAGGGTTTTAAATTCTATGAACAGACTGATTAGATACTTAGGGTGCTACTTACCATTAAAAGCCAACATATTAGCCACTATGTAAAGTGAGATGGACCCATAGGATTTTCACGGCTTGGGTCTTTTCTTGGTGTAAAAGAGCAATGATAAAGTGATAAGCTGAGTATTTACCTCCAAATTAAAAAGCAAAGATGGTGAGTAACATAAGACAAATACAGATTTTTTTTCTATGTACGTTACAGAGGAAGGCAGAGAAACTAAATGTGGATAATTCAAGGTTGCAAAATCAAGCACTCAAACTCCAAGAAATTCAGGTTACTCTTAAAACGTACAGCTCTCACAAATTGTATGTGCTGACTGTGATTCTTTACATTATTGCTTCCAAGCTTCCCATGACATCAAAGTGCCGTTATTTAAGCTGGAGTAAAAAAAAGTAATGATTAATCAGCCCCATTGTAGGTACCGTCTTACTTCCTCTTAAAATTCTTTGTTAAATTTGCAGATTAATATATCATTGTCTATTTATTAACGTATCCCATAACCTATAGGATGTGATACCAGTTTCACTGTATACCATAACTTGTAAGCTGTACAATATACCCTGCTTATTGTGGTAGGACAGTTTGATTTTGTTGTTGTTCTATACAAGTGTATGCATATAAAATAATACACAAGTATGAACACTATAAACCAGATCTTGCCCCTGCCTTATTTTCAGGTTACAGTAAGTATTGTCACTAATGATTATTTATAGTGCTAAGTAAATTTAAAATAATGTAGGATTTAGTCACTGATCACTGACTGTATGAGAATTGTTTCTGCCTTGATCTAGAAGAAATGGACTTCTCAGAATTCTACTGTGAAACATTCTCCCCTGTTTTTCTTAGCTTCAGTGTATCATGCGGCTGTATGCTGAACCAGTGAAAATAAAAAGACTGTCATTCTGCAAAACCTGCTGAGATGTTGCAAATACGTGCATGAATTTTCAACACACTAAGATGTGATTAAGCAATGGAAAATCAGCAAGCTTTGCATGGATGTTGGGATATTGGTCTAGGGAGAGAAGTGCTAATAGAGTACTAATTCTAACAATGCAGACCTAATCACTAATTGACAAGTGTGCTCTGAGGGTCTTGTACCGTACTTGGACTGTTAGGATTGAGGTGAAGGAACCATGGCAACTCAGTGCATTACTTCAATGATGTTTGCTGCAGGAAATGAATCTTTTAAGCACTGCTAGATGAGAAAATTGAATGTTGTTTCAGCTGCTCAGTACCTCAGAGGATGTTCACTCTCTACCTGAAATGTGCCTGTTGAACGTACAGCAAAAGCATTTTCATCACTTGGTACTGAGGTGGAACATTAAGATGAGGTCCAGAGAACTCCAGAGAATTTTCTGATTATTCTTCCCTAAAGAATCCCTTCGGCACACAAGGTCTGGTGATGCAGCTGTGCTTGGCATTGCAGCACTGAGGACGTTGAGAAGTTTGATGGTGGGAGTCTCTGCCCCATAAACCTCTGCATTTTGTTCTCTTTGAGGCCTCCTTGCGTAGTACATGCTCTCTTCCATGCGACTATATTACTTTTCTGTTTGTTGGAGTTGTTTTAACCTCAAGTCTTTTTTTTTTTTTTTTTTTATAAAGTATTTTTATTTTATTAGGATCAGATTGACTTTTGTTTCTGAGGATGTGTCTCATCAGTGTCAAATGGAAGCTCTCAAGAGATGGGTATTTGCTTCTGTTTTGAGGACACTTACAGTCCTGCAAGTAGAAGCAGGTCCAAAACTCTTCTGAGATTACTCCAAGTTGCCTACACTTGGGCTGTATAAATGGTAGATGGTAGAAATCAGTTTTATAGAATCATAGAATGGTTTGGGTTGGAAAGGACCTTAATATCATTTAGTTCCAACCCCCCTGCCATGAGCAGGGATACCTCGCACTAAACCATGTTGCCCAAGGCTCTGTCCAGCCTGGCCTTGAACACTGCCAGGGTTGGAGCAGAGTGTATTCAGAGTTGCAGGCAGCTAACAGTTGATTTCATCCACAACTGCAGCTAGGGAAAATACAATTTTGTATACCTAACAAAAATCCTACCAGAATCTATTCAAAAGAATGCAAGTGGGTGCTAGAAAGGCAACAATATGTTATTTCAAGCAAAAATAAAATGCAGCCTTTTACACCTCTATTTCCAAGTCAGGTAGAAAGAAGTTCATGTTCCAAATTCAAGACAGACTTGAAATTTTTTTCAAACCTCCACAACATGTATTTTAAATCAAGTGAAATTGTTCATACAGAAATAATTGTCCATAGAGAACTAATTGCTCGCACAGAAATAAGGTGGGTAGTTTCACCGTTCTGTAGTTTTCCTTGACCTTCTTGCAATGAGTTACCCAGAGCCGGTCCACAGACCACAGTTAAACCTGGCCGAGTGGCAGGGAGCCAATGTCGCCATCTGACACCAGCTCCACTGAAGCATGAAGAGACACAAATTAATCCTAATGGATCACTATCCTTGTCCCTGCTTTGTTTGCTCCAGTTTCACTCGCTTTTTGTTGTTGGAAGATTCATTCGAGGCGGGGTTGTCATGGAGCCCTGCGGGGGATTTGATTTAGGGCATAGAAGTGATTTGCAGTGCAAGACCATGTCAGGCTGGCTGGTGCTCAGGCCCAGTTCCCCCAGCCTGCAGGATGCTTTTTCAGCCATGTTTCATCCTACAAGCAGCATGTAGCACTCACTGGCTCACTGCAGGGTTGTAAAGAACCACAACTGTTTCCAATTTGCCTTCTGATAAAGCTGTACCAAACCAGACTGGATTACCACAAATAAGCAGGCAGGAGTGGTGGTGGCATGGGATACAATGGGTGCATGTGGATGGAGAAGTTGGGAGGAGGGAAGGAGCAACCCATTCAGGCAAAAGGTGCAAGAAGGATCAGATCTATGACATGCCACTCTCTGCCCATCCTTCATGTGTTCAAAGCGATGATGGACTTGCCTGATGCCACCAAGGAGCCACATCCCATTGTCCACACAGTGAGGCATCGAAAAGGGTGCAATGTTCAAATCCCAGCTGGGGTAAACCCTGTGCTGTCACTACTGGCACACCTGACTTCTAGCCTGCGCCCTGAGCCAGCTCTGTGGGGATGGTGTAGCTATGATGGATGACACTGTCCCAAAACTAGCATGTGTGCTAACTGGCAGCTGTGCCAGGCCATTGCTGGGTGAATGTGGCCATGCTATCTGCAGCTTCACAGCACCGACCTGGCTTGCTAGCTCAGCCCCAAGGCTTGCAGGCCTGCGTGTGCTCAGAGCATGGCTTGCACCAGTTTGCAGGGGATCTGGTGGGTGTGCGCACCACTCAGCTGCAGCAGTGCTTGGGATGTAATCCTCTGTGTCTGGTTTGTCAGCAGCCGCCCTGCCCGTCTGGTAGAAAGGGCTGCTACACAGTATGTTGCTCTCTGTCCCCTTTTCTCAAGGATGTATTGGGTTTTTCACAATCACTTGTTGGTTTTCTGATATTTTATAATCATTGATGACATTGGGAAATCTTTTGAGTAGTGCCTCACTTTCTGAATACTGGAGTAGGAGAGACAGGTGCTTTCTGCATCACAGCACTCAATAGTTTTTTGCAGCTGTTCCTCTCTCTGTTTGGCTTGTGCTTTTCTTCTGTTACATGGCGCAAGTGGCCCAGAGAAGTTGTGGCTGCTCCATCCCTGGAAGTGTTCAAGGCCAGGCTGGACGGGGCTTTGAGCAACCTGCTCTAGTGGGAGGTGTCCCTGCCTGTGGTAGGGAGTTGGAACTGGATGATCTTAAATCTCCCTTCCAACCCAAATCATTCTGTGATTCTATGAACTCGCAGCCCTTGCTGGGTTCACTGACTGTGTGTTTGATGAGAGTTTTCAGGAAGATAAGGATAAGCCATGCTGGTCAGCTTAGGCCAGCATCTTTTTTCTGACCACTAATGGTTGCACACACCTAAGAAGGAAGTCCTATAGGAATACGGTGCATCCAGGGGTAGTCATCTAATTTCATCTGTGTTGTGCACATCACGCAGAGGTGAGGTGGATGGCCAGGCCAGCAGCATGCCGATATGGGCAGCTGCATGCACAGCAGGGACCACAAACAGTGGTTCCGCAGCAGACTTTCCTCCTT